GACGTCTTCTAGGACCTCCACGTCCTCATCTTCAATTTCTGTCTTCTCTGGCTCTCGAATGTTGCAGGTGGATTTCATTGCTACCATGGAGCAATTCTTTGCCTGCAGTTGATCGCCTCTAACTTCTTTTATCCCATGCTCTGTTGGGAATCGCAGTAGTTGATGCAATGTTGAGAGAACTGCCCCCATTGCATGCAACCATGGCCTTCCCAAGATAATGTTGTATGGCGAAGGCGTGTCAATTACCACGAGTTCTGTCTTGATCCTTTTAGTGCCAGCTTGTACTTCCAAGCTTGTTGCGCCCAGTGGCCACGTCGGCGTTCCATTGAAGCTGACCATCGGGCCGTTGGATTGCTCCAAGTCATCAGGATGAAGGCCCAGTTCCTTGTAACATCTAACATACATGATGTCGCAAGAGCTGCCTTGATCAATCAAGATACGTTTCACTTGGCACTCCCCAACCTGGAGGGATACTACCAAGGCATCATTATGTGGATGCTGGACCATCTCTAGGTTGGCTTCAGTAAAATCTATCGTCGGTCCCTGGCATTCTTCAGGCCGAGGTCTTTTGTGTCCAACCTGGTTTATGTGCTGTAGGTGTTTTACCCTCTGAGTCTCCCCTCGTATGTCGTTTTCGTTCACTTTTGAGTGAATTACATTAACCACCCGTGGTCCTCCTGCCTGTGGTTGCTGTGCTAGGGGTGGCAGAGCTGTTGGTGCTTGAGGCAATCTTGCCTGTTCTTCCCTTGTCCTGGCCTCATCGACAAGGTCCCTCAGATGGCCTTGCCTCACCAAGTCTTCTAGGTGTGCTTTTAGGGCTCTGCAACCCTGAGTTGGGTACCCTTCTTCATTGTGGTAAGCACAACGCCTACCCACGTTTCTTCCCATAAATTCCCTTGGTGTTCTTGTCGGTCCTCTGAAATAGGGTTGGTTTCGTATTTGATCCAGGACTTTGTGGATCGAGGCTCGGAATATAGTCGTTACTGCCTGTTTAGCCCTCAATTCCGTTTCTTGTTTGATCGGTCCATTATTACCTTGGCTTCGCTTCGGCGAGCCGTTTCCTTTCTCTTGCTTTGTCTCTTTGTTTCCCGACACATCCTCCTCGGCTCTGGCGTACTTTTCGATTCTCACCATGAGTTCTTCCATGCTTTTTGGCAATGTCTTTGCCAAAGACTTCCGTAGTGGGCAGTCATCTTTCAGGCCGTTCTTGAACGACACGACTGCTACCTCTTGGTTGCATTCGGGTATTCGATTGAACACCTCGTAGTACCTTTTTGCGTAGGCCCTAAGGCCTTCATCCTTGGTGATTTTTAAAGCCATCAGTGCGTCAACCCTCAAGGGTTGTAGTTTGTTCGTCACAAACCTGGCCACAAACATCTCAGCCAGGCCTTCCCAAGTCTTTACGCTTCCCTTCGGTAGTTTATGGGACCAATCTGATGCAATTTCCCCGAAGGATGAGGGAAATACTTTGCAGAGCAACGGCTCATTCCCACTGTATAATTCCATTGAATTTAGGTATAGTCCAACGTGAAAGTTGGGATCTGACTCTCCATCATATATTTGGAACCTCGGCATACTGAATCTCTTTGGTGCTTCAAATTTGTCCAATTCCACCAAGAATGGTGTCCTCGGCTTAACCAGGGAAGTTACTTCGACTTCAGCATTCTATTGCTTCCTCTTAAGGTAATCTCTCATGTCTTCTTTACTTCTCCTTGGAGCTCGGCTATCTTTGGACTTCAATCTTTTCGGCACACTACTTTCAGCCTCGTAGTGAGTCCGTTTTGATCTTTCTCCATGGGTTGTGTCAAAACAGAGCGCCTGCTTTTGAACATGCCGATGTTCTTTGGGCTTTGGGTCCGTCATGTGATACGTCCTTCGGGACTCCTCTCATCTTGGCTCCTCTCGTCCGACTTCCCTGGAAGTTCGGTGAGAGTGCCTTCCGCTCCTGGTGTGCTGAGGGGCTTCGGGGATTGTTCTTCATCCTCCCTTCTGGGTATTAGCTGCTGGCATCGGCGTATCCTGCAGCGGGTATGGTAGCTGCATGACATTGTTTTGCATCATGAAGTTGACGACCGACTGTAGGTCTGCCAACTTGTTTGCTAATTCTTTTACTTCCTCATCCCTCTGTAGGCACCTATCCCTCCATACCTGAAGGTTATCTTCGTTATAGTACTTGCTTTGGTCTATCCTCTTCAAAGTGTCGCCCTCCTGGCCGACGTCTTTTTCTCCGTGGCCCTGGTCATGAGTTTCTGCATTGTGGTTGTCTCCTTCAATGTCAAGGTCAATTGGTCTGCCACTCCCAGCAGGAGTGTCACCCTCAATGTTTTCCTTCTGTCCGTTACTGGCCATCTATTCTTCTAAGTTCTCACAGACGGCACCAAATTGTGTGAGTGATTTTCTGATCACACTGCCCATTTAGTAATCAGCTAGAGAGCACCGACAGAATAGATAGCTTTAGCTAACCTGTAACAGAAAGAAAAGGCTCCGGCGGTGGCTTTTCCACCCGGGGGCACTCCGACGATCAAGTCAGTATATCTCTCAAAGATAAACAAGTGCTAAATTCACTACTCAAAGCATAAAACTGCGTACCTTAGACCCACGGGGGTGCCTCTCTTTTATAGTTACCTTAATCCTAGTCCCACTAGAAGCCTGACTTCTATGGACTCCAACTCAGTACTTACTTTAGACTCCTCAAGAGATAAAGATAAACTCCCTAAGAGTTTTATCCTTATCTTGACTAAGTCTCCTCTTTATCTTAGGACTCTGGTCCCCTATCCGTTTATCTCGGATTTCGATATCTTCGGAGATAACCTCGGCCTTGCCGAGATCACCTCGGCGTCGCGACCAGGACACGTGGCACCTCGGCTAACACGTCGGCGTCACCTTGCCACGTGTTGGTACTTTGAAAATATATCTCCACAGTTATAAATAATATATATATATATATATATCTTTTTTGAAATCAATCGTAAAAATTTTTGTGAAATATTTTTATAAAAATTTCCAATATTACAATTAATAAATGTCCTATTGGATTTAATTTCTTATCTTCACCAAGCATTCATCGCTGATGCTATGAGATGATTGATATGTCTGTTAACTACAAAAAGGGGTAAATAAGTAATATTGATTGAAAACACACATTAGAGAAACTTCCGACAGTTTCAACTACCTACCTCACCCATATCCCAATATAAACTGACATAAATTCACATTATAAAGTTTTGAAAAAAAATAATAAGCATGTGATGCATTAGGATGAGACTCCACAGATTTGAGTGCAGAGAGGTCGAGGGATTTCTGAATTCTTGGATGGCTATTTGATGGGTTTTGTCTGTTTCAGATTTGAAACATTGTTTTATCTTCTTTTCATTACTACCAACAGAAATCAATTCAAAAGGTATGAATTTCTTTGATTTTGATGAGGTACGTACTTTGATATGGGCAGTCACTATATGATAACTGAAGTAGTATAAACTTCAATTTTAGTAACTCTTTTGTGTACTTTGTGTGAGTGATTTTCCGACCACACTGCTAACTCAGTATTCAGCTAGAGAGTACTGGCAGAATAGATGACGCCTGGCTAACCTGCAACAGAAAGAGAAGATTCTGGCGGTGATTCGTCCACCCGGGGGCACTCCGACGATCAAGTCAGCATATCTCTCAAAGATAATCAATAGTGCTAAACTCACTGTTCTGAGTAATAATTTGCGTACCTTAGACCCATGGGGGTGCCTCTCTTTTATAATTCACTCAATTCTTGTCCCACTAGAAGCCTAGCTTCAATGGACTTTTGCTCAGTGCTTATCCTGGACTCTCCAAGAGATAAAGATAAACTCCCTAAGAGTTTTATCATTATCCATGCCATAGTCATTCCTTATTCTAAGACTCTTGTCCCTTATCCGCTTATCTCGAATTCCGATATCTTCGGAGATAACCTCGACCTTGCCGAGATAATCTCGGCGTCATGACCTGGACACGTGGCACCTCGGCTGACACGTCGGCATCACCTTGACCACGTGTTGGTACTCAAACAATATATCCCCACAACTACCCTCTAGGTTCTATTACCTCGGCATCCTGAGGTGATGGAACCTATATCGTGAATGTCAGCGACCCTACTGTATCATCCAATACATCGGCTTCACACAACCAGGCCCTATAGTCTGTTTCACGGACTGGAAAAGGGGGGATTAAAATCCATCGGACTTGAGTCCTGGGACTGTGAATCCCCCGGACTATTTGGTCGGATTGGATATGTATCCTGTGTTTGTTTTTTCATGGGATTAGATGTCTGGATAGGACTATTTTCAGTTAATCCAATGTTTGTTTTTTCATGGGATTAGATGACTGGATAGAATAAATGAACAAAAGACTATTTTACCCTTTTTCAAGTGTTTACTAAATAACAATATTAAATCTGTCTTTAAATGTAATCTTTATTTATAATTGATTAGTGGACCACAATTAATTATTTAATTTTTTCAATGTTTTTTTTAGAACCATTGTTTTTTTTTCAAAGTTTGAAACATATATTTTTCCAATATTTATATTTTTTAATGGTCACATTTTTTAAATATAAATAAGACCATGTCCCTTCTAATTTTTATCCAACACAAAAAAAATTATTTCTCCAACACAACACACCAGCACTTCATGGTCTTATATCCAACACAATAGCACTCCATAAATGAACAAAAATTATATACTCCACCACTCCATAAATGTCCAACACAACACACCAACAATGTATAAATGAACAAAAATTATTTTTATCCAACACAACACACCAACCAACACAAAAAAATCATTTCTCCAACACAACACACCAGCACTTCATGGTCTTATATCCAACACAATAGCACTCCATAAATGAACAAAAATTATATACTCCACCACTCCATAAATGTCCAACACAACACACCAACAATGTATAAATGACAAAAATTATTTTTATCCAACACAACACACCAACACTTCATATTGACACCAACAAATCCACACAGCACACCAATTAACAATTACACAGCAACCAAAATAAAAACAACAACCAACATGAAAGTGGTATATGTTCATAAGGATGTCAGTAGGTACAAATATTTGTTCCTACAACTAGCAGCCTTCAACAACAAAAGCAAAAGCATCCCATGACTAGATGAGTCAGAGGCACCAAATCATGATATAATAATTTAACCCACAAAATATGGTGCTTGACGAATAGAAAAAAACAACAATTAAGTCTACGGAGCATAACCCAAAAACCAAATATTCCCATCACATGTCACAAGTTTGTTATGGAGCATTCCTACTTAGCAACCTCATTACCCACCTCAGCCTATCATCATGTGTCAAGCTGAAGAACATGTCAAGCTTTTGGACATCATGGGATATGATTTCGCAAGCATCTAACCTTTCATCTACGGTAATTGGCAACTTTGTAAGTTCATCATTTAATGATGCTCGTTTTGATGCGACATCATGTGAATACCCCATCCTTTTTCCAATGAATTCCAGCTTCTCATTGGTTTTACCCATGACATCCACCAACTTGTCAGCAAAGATAGACAGCTCTTCAACTACATCATCATCAGATCTTGATCTTTTCTTGTCTTTCTTTTTGGCAGAGCTCTCACAAGCCCGCTGAGTTGCTGAGTTTGAACAATCCATTCCTTCACCAGTGTGACTATTTACTCCCATTTGGTCAAGAAAAGTGTCATTATCTGCAAGGCCATGCAACAGCACATCTTCCTCAGCATTCATAGCCTCAACTGCATCAGCAGGCCCTTCAGCAAACTCCCCTGTAGCTCGATCCTTGCCAAATATTTGAATCCATTCGTCAAAATATGGGAAAGTTTTGTTCCTCAAGTGTTTTGCATCAGTGTCCCTCTGCAATGACCAACTAATCCCAGTTAATATAGGAAAGTGTATTTCAAAAGTAGTTACATAAACATGTAGCAATTAAAATAAAAATAAATAAAAAAAGTGTCTACATCATGGTAACTTTACCCGAACATATGCCTCCCATACACTATCACTCTCCACATCGATTCTTTTTTCAGTGTCATTCCATCCAAACCCACTACTAGCAAGCATACCGGACACAGAATTATAGTGCTTCTTCCATAATTTAATTTTTGATTCAATATGGGGACAACCACGTAAATCTGTCCTAGGTAATATATCTGCCAATTTAGTTTCCAGTCTAGCAAGATAGCCCGCCTTGAAAGCATTATCAACTTTCATTCCTTCATTAACAATGGACACCAATGCTGAAATTAGAGCATCCTCTTCACGTGAGCTCCAAATTCGCCTTTGTTTTGACGAATCAACCTTGTCATTCTTTTTCTTACGAGAACTGGATACCTCATTATCCATGCCTAAAGTAATCATTCAACATTTCATTCGCATCACAATAAATTATTAATAACTCATAAACTAAATTGTCAACTATTAATAAAAATACATTTTCAGCATCCACATTGTCATATATTAATAAAAATACCTCATCAAATAATTCAACATCCACATTGTCAAATATTAATAGAAATACATAGCAATGTCACATTAAAAATTTAAATGGTTTAATAACAAATCAAAGTAGAGCACAATAGTAATGAAAATAAACACTAAACTATTCTCATCCAGCCCCCCCACTAGCCAACCAATCGTTGTACAATTGCATAGCAAGTGTATCCCGCCACACAGTCCATTCATTAGATGCCTCAACAGTATCAATGAAATCATCTCCCATTGGCAGTTGATTTTCTTTGTCATCATCGTCATTCTCTATAGGGTCAACTGCCATCTCTCGTCGAATGAAATTGTGTAACAAGCAACATGCTGTGATAATACGATTTTGGGTTCTAATGGGGTAGTATCATGCACTGCGAAGTATTGCCCATCTCATTTTCAACAATCCAAAAGACCTTTCTATGACATTCCTGGCTTGTGCATGTTTCATATTGAAATATTCTTGGTAATTACTTGGAGTTGCCCCTTCTCTCCAAATAGACACATGGTATCGCTGACCACGGTAAGGTGCTAAGAATCCTTGCCCATTTGTATAGCCCGCGTCCACTAGGTAGTAGTAACCTGTGTGTGGAATGTTATGCATTAAACTCAATTATTATACACGAACTTAGGAAGAATTAAGTATCATGAAATTACCATTTGGAATCCTTACGCCATTAGGCCGATTGATCGCATCTCTTAAAACCCTAGAGTCGGCCGCTGACCCTTCCCACCCCGGCAACACATATATGAAATTCATTTGTTGGGAGCAAACTCCTAGAACATTAGTAGCAATATCTCCCTTTCTTGTCCTATATCTTCCTTGATGAATCAGGGGTACACGAACTCTAATATAGGTGCCATCAAGTGCTCCAAGACAATTCTAAACACACCAGTTGAATAGTTATTGTAATAGTTATGGGGTTTTTTTTGGGTAAAATAGAGAACAAAAGAAAATAAAAAAAATAATGTAAAGTTACCAAATTTGTGGACAATGTATTTACCTGGAAGCAATTCCACCGTGGATCTGTGTTTGCTTCGGTAATAGGATTTGGTGTACTAAGTAAGTTGGCTTGCAGGCGTAGCACAGCCTTTAACACATCATTGACATATCGACTGACAGTCTGTCCAGATCTATAGAAATTGAACTTAACATTTCGTATTTTCAAATGTTGTGCCAAAATGAATAGGAAGAAGGCCACCTTCTCTTCTAAAGTGACATGTTTTGAAGGTCCTAACCCACCAATTGCATGAATCATATTGCACAAAGTCATAAAAGAACGACGATCCATACGGAGTTGTTCAATGCATGTTATGTCACTTTCTCTCACTAAACGGTTAATATGATCCATTTGTTCTTGCAATCGATTGGGTCCTCTAATAAGATTACGTGGATACCTAGATAAATACTTCTTCAAGATAACTTGAATGACAACAGAAGCTACAGTGCATAAGGCAAATAGCTCTTGCATTACAACTTGCAGTACTACGTACAATTCAAGCTCATCATTACTCTCATCGTCAAAGTCATTGATATTCTCATCCATCTATCAAAATAAATTATCATACAAAAACCATTTAGAATTACAAATAATATAAAGAATGAAACATCTCTAGGCATAAAGATAACATATAAGAATCTACTTTTCACTGAAAGAGAAGTTTTAAATATAGAAAAACATGACAAAACTTCAAAAAGTTATGTGCTTTGTATAATAGATATGTGTTTTTCAAGTACTGTTGCCAACATGGCCGGAAAATTTGGTTCAAGAGTGTCAAATGGAAGAATGGCAGGCACATAAGTATGATGGGTTCAAATGGGCAGCCAATGGAACTTAAAGGAGGGAGTAAGTGCAGGGACTACTATGTGCAGTTTTTTAGTTTACATTCTTTATTCTTTGATTGCTTTATGAAGTAGTAACTGGTGAACTCCTATAATGACAGTGGCAGGTAGTAATTATTTAGAGATTGAACAATTTTTATTAGAGTTCCATTAAGAATGGGCAGAGAAGCAAGAGAACAAAATTTTATGGGAAATTGAAATGACACACTAGTGGAATAACAAAGAACAACAATTTGACAAAACTCATCGAAACATGTTGAAACAATTAAGTTGTGTGGACATGAATCTAGAATTTTTCAAAATGTTTAAGATTAAATTTTTCATTATAGTTAAATTTTTCAAAATGTGACTCGTACATTTTGGGATTTTATCTTTTTAACATTGATATACCTTGATATATTAGTTGAAATGAAATTATGAAAATCACAAACGTGTATAGACCGATTTTGATACGTATCAATATGTAGCCGATTCACATCGATTCAACAACCATAAAAGCTTTTTTTTGCATGATTTAAAAAAATTCATGATGGTAACAGCCAACCAATTCTCGATAAATATGCTCAACATTCTCACTATTGTTACATCACGATCGATAATATTATTTCTTTCGATATTATTATTTAAAATCATGGTCGAAAAAGAAAAGAAAAGAAAATTCTATAACAAACTGTTTTGACTATGGTAGATACTAAAATCTCAAGAAATGGAATGATTTATTCATTATTTTATTTTATTAATGGCTTTAGGTGTCCATTGACCACTTTGAGGAACACAGAATTCAAGTGTTCGTTGTTTGGCAAGCAAGTGTTGTTTGAGCTTTAAGAATTTATTTTATTAATGACTTAGGTCTCCATTGACCACTAACAAACACCAGTGTTCTTTGTTTGGCAAACAAGTATTGTTCAAGCTTCAAGAAAAGAAAGCCACCAAAAACAAGCACCATAACTGTGTTTAAAAAAATAAATAGCATATTCTATAATCATACTTTTCATTTATCATTAATAATGGTTGTAATTATTAGATTAATTATATATATTTTATAAAATATATATATATATTTAATAGATTAAATTATCAAAATGGGTTAAGGAGGAGCATGGGGCTGCACTATAGTAGCCCTTGAGATGCTCTGTTTTTTGTTAAATGAGTTCCAAGTGCTAACAATGGCAAGGCAACAAAAGATTACAACAAAACATGACTTCACATACTCTGTTTTTTGTTAAATAATAAGTTCCAACTACTAATAATGGCAAGGCAACAAACTTGTATACAAACCCAGCACCATTAACAGCCATTAACAATTAACAATGAACTGTTGCTGTTTTCTGAAGGCTAAAAAAAAAAATACAACAACAACAAATACAGACCCACAACCCACCAAAATAGGCATAACATAAACAAAATCCCTCAAATCTGGTTTGATGAAGAGAGAAAAAAAAAACTTGAAAAAAAAAACTTGAAAGAAACAAAAAAAAAACTACAGAGAGAAAATAAAATTGAACCAAATCAGCCACAACAACAACCCAAATTGAACTAAAAAATATATACCAAACAAAATGGAAGATGTAGAGTGTTTTAAACCTGAGTGTAGATGATGAAATTGAGCCACAAAACAGGTGAATCGCCTCTAGGGTTTTGCCGTTTTGCCTATTCGTAGTAAATGATTTGTGCTCTCACAATTACAGAGGACACAAAATATATATTATGAGGGCAAAATGGTCATCTCACCCCTCTAATCCAAACAGTGAATAATCCTACCAAAATTATCCCACCCCCCCCCCCCGGACAGTGGAATCCCCCATATGGGGGATAAGGAGTCCGGCCGGACATGGAGTCCGGCGGACTAAAAAAAAATCAAACAGCGGATAAGGAGCACTATTTGGATTACAATCCAAATAGTGGATAGTCCCCCCCCTTAATCCGGCGAATCAAACACGCCCTAAGAGTTTTATCATTATCCATGCCATAGTCCTTCCTTATTCTAAGACTCTTGTCCCTTATCCGCTTATCTCGAATTCCGATATCTTCGGAGATAACCTTGACCTTGCCGATATAATCTCGGCGTCATGACCTGGACACGTGGCACCTCGGCTGATACGTCGGCATCACCTTGACCACGTGTTGGTACTCAAACAATATATCCCCACAACCTCTATTAATTATTTTAAGTAGCAATCATTATTATTTTCTTCTATTAATTTGAGTACTTCTTGCCAGTACATCGGCTTAAGCCAAGTTCATCACTGTAGGCCGACATGTCTTCTTAAAGATCAAGATTTCCAAGAACTTCTTCACGCGCATGAGCTGTCATGCATAACAACTCAACCGTTTTTAGCCACACGTCTTTTTCGTACTGGATCGTACCTGATACGCGTCTGTAAATCAAATCATTCTCACGTGCGCCGTCTGGCGTATACGTTCTTCTAGGCACATTTATGACCCTTTTGCCGCCGTTTCTGTTTTATCAAAAAAAATTTTCTTTCCTCCGTTTTTTCACTTTTCATTGTTTCTGAAGTTCTCTCTCTCTCTAGCTTTCCATCTCCTCCATTGTTCCCAAGCTTTCAAGCTCTGCTACTACCATTGTTCTCCTCTTCCGGCGAGACGCTTGCTATTCTTCTCCGCTGCTACCATTCGTCTGACTTCGGCGAACTCAACACCGGCCTTCCTCTTTCTAGTAAGCCATTGTTTCTCCTGGTTTCAATTTCTTGCTACCTTACTGAACTTTACTGTTTTACCTGCTGTCTTTGCAATCTCGTTCATACTTCTGATATTTCATCTTGCATTTTGTATTCCACCATATATTTGAACTCATTTGCTTCATGATTCTATTTTTACCCAAATCATCTTCTTGAATATACACTATTCACACATCAGTTGATTTCTGCCACTGTTTTTGGCTTGATACCCTTTTGTTCTTTCAATGTTCTTGACAATCCATCTTTGTTCTTGATTCTGAAGCGCATCCCTGTTTTTCTGTTTTCCAGATCCGTGTATCCAATCTTCGTTTCCATAGATCTAGGTTTGGGATTTGCTTGTAGAACCCTTGATTATTATGAAAAATTGAAACTATTTCCACAAATTCTTACCCAGTACATACTTTTGGTTTTTGCCGAGGTCCCAATAACCCTTTTAAAACACCTTTATTCTGAAATCCAGTTCCTCCTAGCTAGGCCGATATCATGGGTATGTGGAAGCGTAGGGTAGACACCCCGACAAAATTAGAATACTTTAGGCGAGAGTTTTCCATCCCTGCCGACGTCTATCTAAGGTTGGCTGGGGATAATGACTCCATAATGCCCACCACTGATTCTATGCCATTCCCTGTCGTAGCCTTTGTTGAGTGCGGACTCCGGCTTCCACTTAACACCCTTTTTCGTGAAATACTTCATTACTACAAGTTGAACCCTATGCAACTTGCCATCAACTCATACCGAGTTATTAATGGTATCATAGCCTTAGCAAAACAAGAAAACGCTAGGATCACCTTAGCCGACATCCAGTACTGCTACACCATGTGTGGCCTCAAAAAAGGTACGGGCTATATTTACTACCTTAAGCCGAGGTCCACTGAATACAAAATCGTAGCCAACCTCCCAGACTCCAACAAGGGAGCTGGAGACGATTACTTCATTACCTCGGGGAACTAGGAATTCGCTCCAGACGAGGACCTTCATCTCTATCCTCTTCCTTGATCAGTTTTTGTAGAGGGCAATGGTAAGAGCCCTGCATCCATACTTGTTTGTTTTTTCAAAAAAAATTTCAAAGTCTTTAATATTTTATCTCCTTCTAACGTCCATTTTGTTTGCAGCTCTTCCTCAGCCTCCAAAGGGTTTCCGTCAGTCTTTCTTTCCCAGTAAAGACTTGAAGAAACTTCTGAATTTGCCAGTTCACAAGCGAAAGGCCCCTCTGCTTCTTAATTTCATCTCCACGTATAAGCCGGCTCTTCCCGACGTCCCAAAGAAGAAGAAGAAAAGCCTTTCTCCACCTTTTGCCATAACTCCACAAGTCGCACCCACATCTCGGATAGACCAAGGATCAACCTCTGATCCAACTGAGCAGCCGTCAACCTCGGCTCCATACCTGATCCTGATATCCCAACTACAACGCCGGCGACGAACTATTTTTTCTGCTGAGATGGGCTGTCAAAAAGCTGTTGCAAAAGATCTCCTGGCCAGCATCCCATCAACCGTTGACACTCCACCAACGCAAACCCAGCCTCCACCAAAACAAAAAAGAATTAAAAAGGCTCAACCAAAGGCCAAGGTGACTCAAGTTGACACTAAGGACACTTTGCCGATCTCTAAACTGGCTGAAAGTGACAAGTCCCAGCCCACCGCAGAGAAGAGGCGTGCCAAGGCCCAACCATCCGATTCTCCAAAATCAAAGAGGCCGAGGTCATCCTCTGCAACCACCTCGGGGTCCAAAAAACATGATGCCCCTTGGGCCCCCAAAATCACTCTGGAAGACAAGCTAGTTATGGCCAACGATAGTGCCGATGACATTAACGTCGGCGTAGCCCTCAGTACCGCTCTGCTTCTCCCCGGCGATGTCGACCGAAACGCCGAGTTAAGCGAGTACGAAAACTACGCTCTGATGCTTCAACGCTCTGTTCAAGTAAGGGTCTTTGTCTGGCAACTTTTTATTTCTTTCTGTTCATTCCATACTTGTAATTTTTTCTAACAACTTCTGTTCTGCTTATTT